TAGTGTCATGTCAACGACTTAATTCAAAGCAATGTGTGTGTGTCATTGGAGCTCATCCCATATGGTAAGCTTTTCTTTGATTATTAGCTGAGCTAAAGAATGAATTTTTTCCCTTGTTTTTAGTCGCATGAAATTTTTGCCTTGTTTTTAGTCCCTCAGATGACCCAGAAGTACAGTTTTTTTTACTCCTTTTGACTTTTGGCCGCCCTTTTTCACTTTCGATGGTCATTTAAATTTATCGCTCAATTGAGGTGTTTATTTTGTTTATGTTTACCTATGTGAAACATAGTAATTATTATACTTATCATGTGTATAATCTAATCATTGTTCTAAAAAGCGCTCTAAGCACCCGACTAGTCCCTGCTTAGGCGCTAGGCGGTGATTAGGCATCCCGGTTTTAGTCTAGGCGGCATCCCGATGAATTACTTTAGCATCTTGAGAAATAGTCGGTCACCTATTGAGCCTAGTTACCCGCCCAAAGAGCCTAATTGGCCGCCTAGAGCGTTTAGATTCACCAACATTTTAATAGAATATTATTAGGAAGATTTGTTTCCTATTCTGTATTAAACTCTTTTATTATAAATACACATCCAGGGCTCCTATTGGAGCACCTTTCCCCGTTATTTCACATGGTATCACAAGCCTAAGAAAAAAACCCTATTTTTTCCCTCTCTTTCACGTTCGACGCAGCCATGTCGCAGCCGCACTCCTCCATGGCGCCGATCATCTCTTCCGGTGAGTCCTCACCTCTTTCTTCTGCTGCGGACACACCCACCACTGGTGCGATTGACACCTTCTCTTCGTCAATCGTAACCGCTACTGCTCCGGAAGCCTCTCAACTGGTGCCCTATTCAGTTTCCATGGCGTCGGACCCTCATCTGTATTCTGCCGGATCATCATACTCTCTTTTCGAAACCTTGCCGCCACACTTTCCATGGCAGCAGGTTGGTTTTGGTCTGCCTCCAGCAAATCCAGAGCCACGACCCCTAGGTTATGTGGCAGCAACCTGGTCCAGTTTCTTCCCTGGTCGCCTCACCTTTGCAGCTGCAGCCGGTCATTCCTCCGGCGACACCGAATCAGCAACCCGTCAGCACTCCCTATTTCGGGCCCTCTTTTGCTGGTTCGCCGGGTTTAGTTCGTCCCACACATGGTAATCCTCTTTTTGGTTCCCCGATGGCAGCAATGGCACAATCACTTTCACACTGCATTGCCAATGTCAGCCAGATTGTGACTATTAAGCTTAAAGCGGTGGAAGACTACCTTACATGGCGGACGCAGTTCGAGTCATTCCTCGTGTCACAGGGTCTTTTTGGCATTGTAGACGGAACAATTCAGGTACCTCCCATGTACACTTTGGATTTTAATAATCAGCGCATCGTTAATACTGATTACTATCATTAGCTTCGGGTGGATCAAACAATCCGCTCTTGGTTGTTTGCCACTCTTACTCGGGATGTATTAACTGATGTTCATGATCTTAAACATTCCTTTGGTATATGGGCACAGTTACAATCACGCTTTATGTCTGCCAGTTTACCTAGAGCTATGGAACTCAAACGATTATTGTCCAATACTAAAAAGAAGCCAAATCAGTCTATGGAGCATTATTTACTTGATATAAAAAAATTGTTTGATGCTTTAGCTGCCATAAACTCACCTGTGACTAATAAGGAATTACTAGAAAGCACACTTCGTGGATTGGGGCCTGAATATCAATTTGTTACGGGAACCATGCAATTATTTCCTGAAAGTTTTCCACCCGATATCCTTCACCCACGGCTCATGGAAGCCGAACAACAAGTACTACATCTCCAGGAGGAGGCTTCCTCATTGCAGACAGCGTTTGGGGCTCATGTGGGTCACGGCCAGCCCCACAGTCCACAGGGACAGCAGCCCGGACAGGGCGCATACCGCGGCAGAGGAGGCCACGGCAGAGGCGGCCGTGGCAGAGCAGGCCGTGGACGAGGTCGATTCCAGCAGCAGCCCAATGGCCAGCCGGGATACCCACAGCAGCAGCCAGTTATTCGGCCACCACCCCAGCACTCGGCCACAGGGAGTGTGTACAACCCGAGACCCACTAATGCTCCGTCTGGTTTCCCATCCGCTGAGGGTATTCTTGGGTCAGTTCCATCCCCGGTTGTGTGTCAAATTTGTTTCTCTACAGGTCATTCTGCATTACACTGTCCGTGTCGCTTTTCACAGTCTGCTACACCTGCCTTGATTGCTCCAACTGGGGAAACTAATGATGCTTTGTGGTATCCGGATTCCGGAGCTTCTACTCACATGACCTCGTCTGAAGGTATTTTGTTAAATAAATCCCCTTATTTTGGCTCCATGTCTGTTAGTGTTGCAAATGGCATTAAACTTCCCATAGCTAATATTGGTAATATTACATTAAATACTCCTGGCCGCCCGTTGTCATTAAACTCTGTTTTTCATGTGCCTCAAATTAAATTCAATTTAATTTCTATTCAAAAATTGTGTGCTGATAACAACTGCATTGCTATTTTTGATAAAAACTCTTTTGTTGTTAAGGACAAAATTTTGGGGGCAGTTCTTCTTCAGGCGTGTCATAATGGTCATCTCTACCCAGTCAGCCTCAGTCCTCCTACACCATTAGCTCTTGCTTTCGCTATTACTTCTGGCCCTGTGTAGCACCGTAGATTAGGACATTGTGGCGAATCTGTTTTACGCCTGCTGCGTGGTAGAAAACTTATTTCTCATTCTTCAAATTTTGAACATGATTGTGTTTCTTGTCGTTTGGGTAAATCTCAGCGATTACCCTTTTCAGATGCTAGTCATAATTCTACTTCTCCATTACAGTTAATTCATTCTGATGTGTGCCAATCTTCAGTTTTATCTAATTTATGTTTTAAATATTATGTGTGCTTTATTGATGACTTCTCTCGCTTTACTTGGATTTACCCATTGCGCACCAAACCTAAGGTCTTCTCTCAATTTCGTCTCTTTAAACTTTTAGTTGAGAATTTATTTAATTCTAAAATTAAAGTTTTTCAGAGTGATGGAGGGGGTGAGTTTGTTAATTCTTCTATGCAACAGTTTTTGGCCGAAAATGGTATTTATTTTCAAAAATCTTGCCCTTATACTCCGCAACAAAATGGTGTTGCTGAACGTAAACATCGTCATCTTTTTGAACTTGCTCGGACTATGCTTATTACATCTTCAATTCTTAATACTTTTTGGGTGGATGCTATTTTTACGGCTGTCTATATTATTAACAGACTACCCTCTCCTACTCTTTTTGGTGCTTCACCATATGAAAAACTATTTCACAAAATTCCTGACTATAGTTTGCTTCGTATTTTTGGGTGTGCTTGTTATCTGAATTTTTCTGCTTCTTCCAACAAATTGTCACCACGTTTTGTTCAGTGTATTTTTCTTGGCTATGCATCTGGTTTTAAGGGGTATCGTTGTCTTGACACCAAATCTGGCAAGGTATTTATTAGCAGGCATGTTCGTTTTCATGAAAATATTTTTCCATATTCCACTTTGTCTTCGTCTACGGGTCATGAATCTCCATCTTCTTCATCTATTCCCGACGATTTTACCCTTATCAATACCACACCTCACTCTATGCCTCCAGTCCCCACCATATCTCTTCCATCACCCACTGAACACTCCAATACAATCCCCACGCCCTCAGCTCTTCCTACTTCACCAGGGCAAACCAATGCTCAAACACCTCCCTCCACACCAAATTATAATTGCCGAAGCTCATCAATACCAAGACCTCACCCGACTCCACCTCCAGGCACTCCCTTACCTGCCTCTCGGTCTGCAACTCCTTCCCACAAATCAGATGCGCCTGAAGCAATCTTCACCCGTCCTGATAATGCTCCAAGTGTGCAACCGCAGCTACCGGCCAGTGCACCAGATACATCTTCCTCTGGTCCGCTGGCTATTTGTCACCCAATGCAAACTCGGGCTAAGTCGGGCATTTTTAAACCAAAAATGATTTTTAATTCAAACACAGTTGCTTTATCGGCCGATCCAACTTGTTATTCAGAGGCTAACAAACAGTTAAAATGGCGTGAGGCAATGGCGGAGGAATTTAATGCTCTTATTTCTAATAATACTTGGGATTTAGTTCCGTTTGATCACACTAAAAATATTGTGGGCTCTAAGTGGATTTATAAGACTAAGTATAATTCTGATGGTTCTATTGAGCGTCACAAAGCTCGATTAGTTGCTCAGGGGTTTAATCAACAGGCAGGTGTGGATTGCTCTGAAACTTTTAGTCCGGTTATTAAACCCACCACAGTTCGTATTGTTTTTACTCTTGCTATTTCTCTTGGATGGGTTATTCGTCAGTTGGACGTTAAAAATGCCTTTTTGCATGGTCATCTAACTGAGGAGGTATATATGCGTCAACCGCGAGGCTTTATTCATCCCTCATTTCCTAATCATTTATGTCGTTTGCGAAAAGCCATTTATGGGCTCAAGCAAGCCCCGCGGGCATGGTTTCATAGGTTTAGCAGCTTTCTACTTTCTCATCATTTCACATGCAGCAAGTCTGATAATTCATTGTTTATTTTTCGTCAGAATAATAATGTCATTTATTTATTACTTTATGTTGATGACATCATTATTACTCGCAATTCTTCTGCGGCTATCATATCTTTTATTCAGCTTGTTGCTCAGCATTTTGCTATGAAGGATCTTGGTGATCTTCATTATTTTTTAGGATTCCAGGCTGTCTGCTCAGATAAAGGTTTGTTCCTATCCCAGCATAAGTATGTTTCTGATCTTCTATCTCGATTTCATCTCCATACTCTCAAGTCTGTCTGCACTCCGCTTGCTACTCGCACATCTTTATCCCTCACTGATGGGGAACTTCTTGCTGATGCTACTGAGTATCGTAGTATGGTTGGTGCATTACAATATTTAACTTTGACACGACCTGACATTACCTATGATGTGCATTTAGTATCTCGGTTTATGCATGCTCCTCGTACTACTCATCTTTTTGCTGTCAAAAGAATTTTTAGATACTTGCAGGGGACTATTGAGCATGGTTTGTGGCTTCAGCCTACATCTCGACCTACTTGTGTCATTGCCTACTCTGATGCTGATTGGGCTGGTTGTCCAGATACGTCCCGCTCCACAACTGGTTTTGCAGTTTTCTTGGGCGCGAATCTTGTCTCCTGGAAGTCGAAAAAGCAGCCTACTGTCTCCAAATCCTCTACAGAAGCTGAATATACGTTCAGGATACCCTGCATATACGTTCCATATTGTTTGAGCTCGGCTATCCCATTACTACGCCGGTCCAGCTTTTTGTGATAATATTTCTGCTTCTTATCTCACTGCTAATCCAGTTCCGCATGCTCGTAGCAAGCACATTCAGATTGACTATCACTTTGTCAGGGAGCGTGTGGCTCATGGAGATATAATTGTGAAGTACATCCCTACTCAGTTACAGTTAGCTGACATTTTTACTAAAAGTCTTTCTAGTCAGCAATTTCATTTTTTAAAAGACAACCCGTGCGTTGTATCTCTCGCACAGTTTGAGGGGGTGTAATAGAATATTATTAGGAAGATTTGTTTCCTATTGTGTATTAAACTCTTTTATTATAAATAGACATCCAGGGCTCCTATTGGAGCACCTTTCCCCGTTATTTCACACATTTTTTTGCTTTTTATTTTATTTTTCTAGGAGATGTATGTGCATTATTTATTACACAATAATGAAATTAAATGATTAGTTATAATATATTATTAAATGTAACAATTTATCTTTCATGCATGTTAATATATGTGTATATATAGACACACACAACACTATTATTTATCATATTTATGCAAAAATACTAATACAAATATAATTTCTATGTTTTCGTTTAATCCCCGCATAGCCGAAACATTATTTCTATGCTCGACTAGCGTCTTTTACAACATGAATCCAATGCATCATTAATATGAACAATACATAAATTACTTCATGTGAAATAATGTACATCATAAAGTATTTTTGCATTGTTATCTCTCGGCGTTGATCGTGATTTAGATGCTTGATTTGTAATCTATATGTTTGACTCGCTTTATACTAATTCAAAATGTCATTTGGTAATCACATTAATGTGTAGTAGGTTAGTTATTTAATTATTTATGTTAACATCAAAAGACTTTCATTACATTATTTTGTACTTCCTTCATCCCTCTAATGTTATTACAAGGTGAGATGATAATGTTATTAAAAAATGGACTCAATCAATTAATATTAAATTGGTAAATTAAATTTGAATATAGTAAAAATGATTTAGAAAAACACAAATATTAACAAATATTGTATGAGACAAACAAAGAGAAAGTAATTGCATGTAGTCATGGACTGGGGCCGGTTCGGGCCCGGGCCGGGTCTAGGCCCAGTCGGGCCTCCGGTTTGTAAGTGATGGGCCCGGGACCGGCCCGAGGTAAGGACGGTTCCGGTTCGGGCCAGGCCACCCGCCCGGGTCACGGGTCGGGCCACCCGCCGGGCCGGGTTGGGCCGGGTAAATCCGTTTTTTTTTACTTATTTATGAAATAAACTTCAAGTGCATTTATTTGAAATGAAATAGGAACTACATTTGACAATTGAGAAAAAAAATACAATATGAATTACATTTTGTAATCAATCGGAATTTCCTGATCCTTTGGCTTTGTCACATGACTTAATATGCTTCTTGGTCATCCCGTATCCGCGTGAAATCCCCAAGCTACACTTTTTCCCGCACCATTTGCAAGTTACGTACCACATCCCGATCCTCGGGTCCTTCTGCGTATAAAAATTATACGCGATAACGGTATATTGACTTTCCATTTTTTTTTGGAAGAAGATGGCTTATATAAATAATAAAGAACATGAGCAGGATACAACCAGACAAGGAGCCTACTGTCTACTATCCGCCCTTGGACCAGACTTAGAATCTGCCACCTCAATAGAAGCAACCAGATTCACTGATCCTAAACTGGGCTTACCTGAGCCAATGACTAGCAAACTAAACTCCCCATCATTAATCCTACGTTCTAAAGTCTTGAAAGCAAAGGAAACAGCAAACACAAAACAACAACGTCCATAGTACCAACCAACAATGAAATAAATTAACTTAAAATCAAAAAGAGCTGCAGACTGCCACAAGCATGCGATCTTCACATATTTAGATGGGTCTGGGTGCACCAGCCCGCCTCCTCCCTGCTTTTTGTTCCATGGAGGGCCATAGCATCCTCCTCTGCATTTTCTTGCTCCTGCTCAAGTGCCTCCCAGACCCGCCTACGTTTCTGTTCTCCCATGCAACCACTACTTCATGTAGTACCCTCAAGCTTGGATTCGTCCTCTTCCTCCTGAGCCTTATTCTTCGTTCCTGTACGGTTCCTTTGCAGCCCCCCTTGGACTCTTCCTGCCCCTCCTTCGTTGACCAGCCATTTATTACCCAAAGAAATGCGTGATCGTCCTCCACCCGCCCTCAACCATGGTCCAAAAGGCCGCTCCCCAACCTTATCCCCTTTTTCGTACAGCAAGGGGCAAAATTTGTCCGCATGTCCCATAATTCCGCACGCAAACCAAAAATTAGGAAGCTTCTCATACTTGAAGTCAACCCAATAGCCCTCCCCTTTACCCTTCTTCAAAGTTGTCCCCACCCTTAAGGGTTTCATCACATTCAACATCACCCGGGCCCTCATATAGGCTTCCCACTTTTCACCAAATTGTTTTTCATCTCAGGAAACAAATTTGCCCAAGTGATTCCCAATTTTACGAGCATTACCCAGATTTGAAAATCCATAGGGGATATTATGCACCTATATCCAAAACTCAGCCGTATCTAGTGGTACTCTCAACGGCATGTCTCCCTGTTTAAGAGCTCTCAATACTAGCAAGTTTTGATCAAATAACCAGGGGCCATTATCTAGCACACGATTCATATCAATTTCATGATAAAAAGTAAACATATACCTCTTTTCCCCAATCTCTTGAATGAGTACCCCTTTACCCAGATGCCACAAAGATGCCATCAAGTCCCGTAAGATTTGGAATTTTACAACCATGTCCGTGAGAATCGTACCAATCAAAGGGAAAGTCTCCGCCTTTTTGTTTTCCGCTGTAGGGTCGTGTCCCTCCGATTCCTCATCATCCAGTATCAATTCATCCTCCGGACACTCCAATCCCAGCCTGTCATATTGATCGGTTAGCTTTTCCACCATTCCCCCACCCACCGCCGAGGTCTCACCGTCGCCTTTGTGATGCGATTGAGACAGAGCGTCATCTCCTCCCCGTGCATGTTCCCCGGTCATCGTTTCCTGTGTTCCGGTCGGATAGTATTCGCTCGCATTCACCGCACGTAGAAACGGCGGAAAATCCTAAACCCTACGTTGAGGGAAGGACAACGACTTTCCATCTTAAAAATGGTAGATATAATAATTCTATAAATACTAGAAAGTCTAGAATAGATGGAGATGAAGATGGAGAATGGAGATTGGAGATTGGATATTGGAGAAGATGTGTATAAAAATGTTAGAAGATAGGAGTATTTATAAAAAAAAATTGTACCCCTACCCCCACCCCACCCCCACCCGTTTGGGCCATTGAGGCTTGAGCCTTTGATTTCAATTTTTTTTGTTTATTTTAGTTTGAAATTTTTGAATAAATTACATAATGTAAAATTAAATAATTTGAGAAGTGCTACATATAAAAAAGTGAACGTATATTTATTAGAATTTAGAAATGTGAACTACAAGTTTACAAGTTACAATTGAGAATTGAAGGAAAAAATTAAAACATAAAATACTAATCAATCGGAATCTCCGGCATAGGTAGGTCCACCCTCGGTTGATTCATCCATAAAGTTTTGGGATGGGGTGATGTCAATTTCTTGAGCTCTACGGGCCGTCTTCAACCAATCATGGTAGCATATAAGCATCTCAAGAGATTCTGCGGTCAACCTCGTTCTAGATTACGTTAGGACATTGCCGACCGAACTAAATTCTTGTTCCACGGCAACTGTTGAAACCGACATTGATAGCACTTGCTTAGCCATCTTTCTTCAAAATCAACATCATCTGTTAAATACAAAGAAATCTCATTAATTGTGCTTTGTTGAGTAGCGGGAGTTGTTTTAGTTTTTGTAATAAGATTGACAAATGTAGATTTCAAAATTGATTTTCCTTTAGATGAAGATGTTTGTGTCGGGGGAGGGGGCGCGTTGCCATATTGTGCATGAAACTCATTAAATAATGCATAAAATATATCACTAACCTCGTTGTATTCTTTTTTCGGATCAATTGCGTTATCGTCATACATTGGAAGAGGACCAAAAAAGCGGCATAATAATAGTTCAAGCATTCTTCTAAAGAACCAAGTCTAAAACGAGGACCGAGAACAAATGCAATACCATAAATATGCGGAATATGTGTGATGGAGTATATGGCCCGGGAACACCCGGCCCACAGACTCCTAATACACCAATGAAGGCCCAACAGGCCCAGGAGGCCCACCAGGCCCAAATCACGGTGCCCAGAGTACCAAGCAACCCACAATACGCACCAGGGGTGCCTTCGGCCCCCTGGCCGAAGGCTCCAAACTATCACAGCAGGGGTATTTCGAACAAACAGAGGAACTGGGAGAAAACGGCGAAAACAGTAGCCCTCGGCACCTGGAGCCCTCGGCACTCAGGGGCCCTCAGCACTAAGAGCCCTCGGCTAGTCCTCTGCAGCCGAGGGCACCTCTCCCGACATAATATCCGCCTCACATGCGTGCAGATCACCGTACCCTGTACAGACGTCCCATCCAACAGCCGCATTAAATGCGGCCACATGCGGCTGCCAACGCCAACCGGTTGAGGTGACCCCTCGGCCAATAGGCGCTTGACACGTGTCCCTGTCCGGCATTTATTGCTACTATAAATAGCACCCCATTTCCCCATTTGTAACCACGCTAAAAACGCTCCACATTTATAATACACTCTCTCTCTCTACATTTACTTGCTCTGACTTCTCTCTAAGTTATTCCCAGCAATAACCCTTTGGATATATACCCCCGGGTAGACTATCCATCATTTGGTGCTCTCGTTGAGAGGTTGAACAATCAAGTAAGAAACCCTCCCCCTTCGCCAAACACTAGCCCTCTACCAAGATGGTGAGAACTACTCGTGCCAACTCCAAAAACGTAGAAGACAAGAACCTGGCCCTCGGCGACGTCAACGCCCCCGAAGCCTCTCACCGGGCTCCCGAGGGCGGTGTCATCGCTGGGCTGGAACAGGCGGCTGTCGACCTACGCCTTCAGATCCAACAGAATGCCCCCGATGCCCGCCTCGGCATCGAGGCCAAGAAGAAGAACCGGAGCGATGACCAAGTCAGCCCTCCGGTCCTCACCATCGACGTGCAATCGGCGCTCTCCGCCTTCATCCAAACGCTCACTCAGAACCCGGGTGCCTTCGGCACCCTGGCTCCGGCTCAACCCCAGGTTGGGGAGAACATCATACTTCCCCCTCTGCCACACCCCTTCGGCAACCCCCTCCCTCGGGTTAGGAATGACGAAGGGGTAGTGGCCCAAGATACGTCCTCCCAGGAAGTTCAGTCCCGGGACCGCCACAATAACAACAGGGAGAGGCCCCGCACTTCCGCCCTCAACCGGCTCGGAGGAGGGCCAGACCGCCGAGGGGTCCAAGACCGCCTCAGAGGAAAGGCACTCCAAAGGCCTCAGGAAAGTGGAGGGTCTGTCTCGAGGGCAGACGAGGAGCGTCCCCCTCAGTACAAAGGCAAG